AGAAGACTAAGAGACTCTCCTGACATCACGACAGGTCAGTCCCTTAAAGTTTTTTTTATGGAATAATTGACTATCAGGTGAGGAGTCATACATCATACCAGATCACAATTAAAAAGCTAATGTAATTGAAACCTTTTATCAAACTCAACAATAATTAACACTTCGAAAGCATTCAAGCCAACAAAACTGTTCGCATTTATCGCACTTTGTATAGGTGTATTGGTTTTTTGCAGTATTCCTAGCCGCTCTTCTGCCATGGTTCCTTAACATGAGGCTGTAGCATTCTTTGCAGAACCTCTTATCCTTGGGCTTCATTCGAGGATCAGAAACAAGCTCTCTTCCCTATGACGGCCTTTTCGTAGTTGCTGGTGCAGTGATGTTCTCACCCTCTCACAATAAAGGAACCAACACCAACAGAAGCCGTTTGGGTGATCAGATGTTAAATCGTACAATTTGCTCGCCTTTTATCATATAAGGTGTGTAAGCGGCCATCTGGTCACTAACAACGTAAGGATCCCAAGTCGAGGTGGCCATTTGAAACAAGACTTATACTGCGATACGTATTTCGAATTTGCCAAGCGATTTTCCGAACGAAGTTCCGAAGGTGGTCTCAAGTGAGTGCTCAACGCAAACGAGCACTTAAGACATGGAAGCAACAGCGCTGACTACGGTATTTTGGAGCAGTGGTAGGCGTGACGCTTTATAGGCATGTGACCATAGATCGGGTTTTGTGAGGTGAGGTAGGAGGTGTCGTTTTCGCACTTCGCAGGGGGTTTTCCTTGAGGACGGTCAAACCATTGTATGTTGATTTACCCCCCCCCCCCCTGGGGACCTTTTTGATGTCAGAGGTGATCGTTTCCTATCGAAACCATCAAACCATGGTCACGGCTCCTCTGCTCTTCTCATACACTTCACATTCACGGTATAATAACTTTCATTACGTAATAAGCAGGTCTGATAATCTAGCGTAAACATTTGAAACAAAGAAGTTATTCAGCTTAGGAGCAAAGAGTAGAATTTTTCGCGGCAAGGTCATTTCCTTACAATCACTCACGAGACCGAACGGAGTTCCGAAGGTGGACTCAAGTGAGTGCTCAAGAGGAAATGTTGTGTGTGGATGAGCAATGAGCTAGTAGAGATATTCCACGGTTCAGGTAGAAACCGGATCATCTCAGGCTTCAGAAACGTCGCTGAAGGCGGTAAAATTAACATACAGTTTTCCTCTCCCTTAGAGAAGAGCCTCGCAAATGTGCAAAAGACGTCCCTCGCAAAACTCGGTCTAGGTTTCATGTATGTGAAGCGTCACGCTTACCACGACTCCAAATCAGCTCAGTGAACATGTTACGTATACAGTAGCCAGGGGTAACGGAACTTCTACCCTATCGCGGCATTCTCCCTTGCGGTATGCGGCAAATGTCACTGCAGTTACCGTACCCATCTCGCCTCCCGCCGATCGATAGGACGCGATATTTTTCCTTGACTAGCTTGCTTTTTTATTGGATTTTATCGTTTTTTCTTCTGCTTCCTCTTAGTTTTCATGTTAATTAGACTTGATTAATTAAAATGACTCCTCCTAAGTAAGCGGCGATCAAAACTGCATTGAAATTGAAAAAAGCGGGTAGCCAATTCAGATAATTAAAGGACTCCCTACCTCACAAATTGCGCGCTCCAAACTTCCATCGCAATCCTGCGATAGGCGGCGGGTGCGGCGTGTGCGATGCCGTGTTAGGGGAGAAGTTCTCGGACCCCAGTAGCCAGTAGCGCTCAAAAGTCTTCGGCCAAATGGTTCTTCAGCCGTACTTTTCAGTCGCAACTACTTGCCAGCTAGATGTAATCATGCGAAATTTCGATATGTGTAGCATGGCTGTGTTGTGAATATTTACCACTATTAAGCTACCATATGATCATGTTCCAGATATCCCGAAGGGCTTAAACTCGAAATCAACCGGAAGCACGGATGATGGTCCTTCTAGAATTCGTACGTTAGTACTGAACGAGCGCTAATGCCGAACACAGTAGAGGAGAAAAACGTACATAAGGTGCGAATAGCTGTAGATCCGAATCCGAAAAACCAAACAGGTGTTATTTTGATTTCAGCAAAGTCTGCTACCACAACATGCACCTTGCTCATAGTTATGTGGACATTGTTGCTTTGCAGTCAAAAAGTGTTGGATAGGGGGAAATATGCTTTAGTTGAACATAACAAAATTTGCGCGATTTGCTCGCCTAGGAAAAACGTTATGAACGAAAAAGCGCAAAAGCATTTGGCCGAAGACTTTTAAGCGCTACTGCATGTCCTATGGGCTTTTCATCTGAGGTGCACACCAAAGATGAAATCAATAATTCAGTTTAGAAAACCGCCTGGCAAATTCGGAACTTATATTCGAAATCAGTCCTGAAACACGTCTAGTTATACAGGTCTCATTTTGAATTATCATTCCCATTTGAGGTCTTTCTCTTGTCACGGGGAGGTCTTCATTCATACAGTGAACTGTCAACTGTGCTTTAGGAACGATTCTTTCACAAAAGTTAAACACATAAGGACCAACCCATAAGAGCGCCAAAGTGTTCTTCGCCGGCATGATGGCGTGTCGAATTCCGAAAGAATGAACTGGAGGAACGACAGATCTGTTCTGTCCAAGATGGAGGTAGTCAGGTTGACATAGCTGTCGAAGAGAGTCGAGTACATGTTCTCAATTGCCGTCAGATGCTGTAACTATTTCGTCAGGACGACGGAGAAGGCATCTTTGTCTTGTAAGTAGCGACCTGTGTATATGATCTTCCCGGGACCAGAACGATTCCGCGCTGGCGTATCAGCTCGAGAGTTTTCGAAAGGAGACATCTCCTTTCAACTTGTAAACTCTTTCTTCCATATCACTATCAAGATGTTTGACGACCGCTTATATTTCTCATCGATGTTGTAAATAGCAAAACCTTTCCATACATCGCAAAGAAAGCGTAGCGATCTCTGTTGATGACGATCTTGGGGCTTCTTGTCCTGAACTTCGCGGCTCTCTCTCCGAGCACTGAAAAACAGCATGTGGAGCGAAGGAGATGATGGTCCGGTCTCGTGTGAAACTTCGGAACAACAGCGATGATCTACTTGGACAGTCTTTCACCCTTTCCATTACGTTCCTGGGTCCCGATTTATGGATCGTCAGTCTGCGGGCAATCTTCACGAGCCAACGCCTCTGCGGTAGAATGTTCTAATGAACAGTTTCTGCAGTGTACGATGCCATCTAGTTTCGATCGGTCCAATAACGTTTACTTAATCTTTCTCGCTTGCATCAGATCTTCTATACACGGTTCCGAAGCAACCATTGAAGTGTTCGTGCATAGAATGTATATATAGCCACCACAGTCCTCCTTTTGAGCAGCCTTTTCTGGTCCCGAGGCTAGAATGAATCTCCCAAGCTCCCATGAGTAGTACATAGGCCGTAATGAGCATATCTCTTCCATCTCCTCCACGTAAGGAGTGATCCTTAAAGACTGTCACCTCCCTCCTTGTTACTTGACATAAAGTGGAGTTTCCCCTTGAACCTTACAAGATTGCTCTCTAATGCTGTTGACGCCCCTCCGCCTTTTTTAACTGCACAGCTTGTGCCACGTCTTCTCGTCGACTATCGACAAAGATGCATTGATATAGAGTTTAAACGGAATATTTCTAGCAGATTCCACCTACCGCATTCTCGGCAGCTTGCTCAACGACCGGTCTGCTACACTGTTTTCGCCCGTATCGAAGCAATCAGTCTATCCATGCCTGTTTTATTTGTATTGCGAATGCCTCTCTGTGCAGTAGGGCTTTCGCCCTCAACTGCGTGGCCGACTTGCATCCTGCACGCTCTACTCAGCACCGTTTTCCCAAGCTCAGCTATACTACAGTAGATGTCTGAATACCAGTACCATGTTCACGTTTTGACTTGCTAAATGTTCACCACTGTCGGAGCTACCGGCGGGCTCCCCACTCCAGTGGGCTTAGCGGGGGACTTCGCGGCCTACTCTAGCGCTTTTCCAACATGTCGCTGCAACATGGCAACTGTTCTTTCACACATTACAGTATGTAGGGCTGTTTCCTGAAATAATTTTAACTGGCACGGACTAGCAATCTGCAAACTCTACACCTAACATTTTTCCGTGCCGAAATCTTGCTTAGCCTTCCTTTGTGCTCTTTAGCCTGCGTTCGCCATGCCATCTGCCTGTTACACCCATCTCTCCGCACTCCCACTTGGTTCACTTCCAGGGTTTCAGCCTGCCGGCCTTCCTCCAAATGTTGAGCAAGTGCTTCTACACGTTCGGAAGCTTGAAGCCTCTTCGATGGCAGTCGCTCCTTCTCTAAAAGCGCTGTCTCGCCTCTACTGAAAGCAACACACCTACATAAGCACCTAAAAACTGACGTCACAGTGGTATCACGATGATCTTTGATATCTTTGAAGGAGTATGTGTTCAATGCCCTCCACAGCTCCGCATAGAATTTGCGCAGCGCCTGCACCTGCTGCTGGATCTTCGACATCAGCCCGATACCGCTCTGCCATACTAGCTTTTTGGGCTAGTAATGCTGCTCCAGTGCCGATCGGAGATCTAGTAACGTCGCTTCTTCTAGTTTGCGTCCCTGCTACGGTAATTCCAACAATTCGTAATTGAATCTACCCACTTTTTGTCAGTCGATGGTCCTGCTCCTCCGTGACTTTCCTAAAAATTAGGAAAACGGCTTCCACTATCATGCCACGATGCCCTCAGGACCACGACCCCGGTATACCTCAGTACCGAAACCTGAGAGTAACCGCTGTTGGGGGAGGTGTATTGGGATCACCGTGGTTCTTTTCCTTTTGGGCTCCTTCAACCTTCTTGCAGCTTCCTTGTGCGGTCATCGTGTCCGACTGATCGCCAGTTGAGTAGCATGTGTGTGAAAGCACACAGAGGGTAGGAATGGTTTATCGCTATCTGCAATCCACTTTTATACATCCTCTTAACTAATCACTCCATCTCTTTCATCACTTCCTCATTCTTCCACATGCACACATCCCCTCTACACTGGCCACTTTAATTTTCGAAAAATGGAGAACTTACAAGAAGTAGCCATGGAAAGTCTTAATCATCAATTATTACAATCTTCTGCACCGTTCCTTCGAAAAAATACATGTGCTTCTCTTCTTCAATTTGGAGAATTCCAATAGAGCTGTTCGGCGGGCATTCCAAGAAGTCGGTCTATGACAAGCCTCTTACATCTTCGATCTTACTACAAATTCTCTTCTAGAAAGTACTTGTGCTGTCTTTTTTCAATTTCAAAAGGAGATCCCACAGAGGTACGTTTTAGGAAGTCGGCGTTTTGATTTTCAGGAAAACCAGAGAACCTTTGCGAAACAGTCATAGGAGCCTTTCACACACGTTATCTTCTTTTATTTCTAAAACAGCTCCTTTCTAAAAAACATTTCTTTCAGGTCAAAAAAGTCTTCACTGAATTGAAAACTCAAACATGACAAACCTTCTACATCTTTCATCTTTTGGATCATTTCTCACCAGAAAATTTCTCCGCCTTTTTTCATTTCAAAAAGAGGTCAAATAAAGTAATTGGTGCGTATTTTGGGAGTTCGGCTATATAACTACCGGAAAATCACGGAACTTTCCAATAGCGACTCTTCTGCAACTTTTATCGAGTCTCCCTTCAGTTCCCCCAGCCACAAATAATAACCAAGACGACTTTAGCTTTCTTTTCTTATAGCCCGACTTTCCCAGAACTCCGCCTAGTATGAGGTTAGGGTGGGAAGAGGGAAGGGCGTCGCCAAAGCGAAAAAGGCTCTAACGAAGAGGACGAGATCATGAAATTGTAGCGAACATCCTCAACTTGTAAGCGTTGGATGGATAACTACATTTACATCAAAGATAGAGTTTCTAGAAAGTCACTGTTGCCAATTGCAAAGAAAGTGGAAGAAAGTCGATATAGGACGCACAGATGAAAAATTAGATGTAATGTGATCTCAGTTAAATTAGCAAACCATCCTGAACCGTACACTCCGATTGTTTGGTCGTTAAGTCAACTTCCTCATGAAAAGATGTTGAGATAACAGAGTTCCCATTATTATCCCATTTCAATGCGCTGATAGTTGCCTCACAGTGAAAACGCCCCAGTTGTCATCGAATTCACCAGCGGATGCTTATCCTGTCTTATCTTATCGACTGCCGTCTGATGCTCTGCTCTGCTGTTACAAAAATGAGAAGTGGCTATCAAAACGGTCCTTGAGCAAAACATGACTGTCGTGGGAATGACCCTCCAAGGCAAACCCCATTAGAATTCTGAGTTTAACAAGCTTCTTCACCCGTACGTTGTTAATGTCTAGAAACGTGGAATCTCTAAGCAGTTTACATTGCTGAACCCCAGAAATTAATCACCGACAAACGACAGAAACGTTTTACCACTCGGAGCAAATCCAAATCAAATGTTAATTATTATAAGGATTCCATGTTGGGCGTGAGAACACATGTAGGCACAGTTTGTAGGTCGCTTGCCTACACTCTGTATCGCCACTTCTGCTGCTAACGTTCTTCATTGAACAAGACTCTGAATTGGATCTTTTGAGCCATAAATGCTCTACAAATCTTGTGAAATCTGTCGCGCGGTCCTCTTTCTAAACCCCGAAGTCTTCATCTTGGGCGAAAGTGAATCACCATTGCAATCTGAATATAAGAAATTAGTCATTACTTTCTTGGCAGTATTTATGAGTTGAAAAATGGTACAATATAGAGTGGTATGGTACTGGATGAAGCAACAGACGATTCAGGGTCATGCCTGTTTCTTAACCCGAGACGTGACAGCGCCAAATGGCCGTCAGAGCCGAAACGATGTACGAGATTATTCAAGAGATCTTTGTCTGTGACCATTGAGCACAACGATGACAATACGCCACAATAACTCGTTCCGTGTCAGAGATCATGCTCTCAAAACTCACACGATAGCCTGTGGATATTGCGCAAGGCACCACAAAAACGGTGTAGGGTGTTGATATCTCCTCATCTCACGATGAGAACTTCTATCAGAGAGCACTGGTTGCAATGGCCAAGAGATTACTGAAGGTTATAAAACAAAAAACACTTCGTAGATCACCTTTTGTTCACGTTGACCCACCGCCTGCACAGTCCAAAGTTTGAAATCTCCGGTCCAAGAAACTGGAGCTATTGATTTCCAGTAAAACACCACACACCGACCCACTTCGTGCGTTGAATTCTCTCCCTCCTATTACGGCTTGACTGTGTGCTTTCACTTAAATGACGCTCATTCCATGTCCTCCATACATCCCACCCCCTAGCCTTTGCATGTTGATTCAAGTTCTACTACTTACCATCGGCGTCTTAATTCTGCCACCTGCAGTCGCTCTGAATTTGAACGCTCTAGGTCAAAATTGGCAATTTTCGTGTACGTCCCGCCTTCTGTAAGCAGAGTCAAGCCATACCACCTCCCATTAGCAACCCCATACTGCCGTACATATACATACAGTAGCTATGAGTTTTCGCTCAAACCCCGCCCATTTTGGATGGAGTTTGAGCGAAAATTCCTGCCAGCTACCATAAGTGTTCCCATCATGCAGCCTGCTGCCAATTCATTTACAAAATTTGATCGTTCTGAGTACGAGAAAATAGTAGTCATAAATTTTTGCTCAAACCCCGCCCATTTCGGCGGAGTCCAGGCTTGCCACCCACCATAAGTGATCCCATATTCCATCCTGTACTCCTATCAAATTAGAACACTATAGGTTCACGGAAACAGGGGTCATGAAATCCCAGTCAGACACACACATATACACACACACACACACAC